CTGTCCTGGAACTCATTCTGTAGACCAGGCTGTCCTCGAACTCACAGAGATCTGCCTGCCTCTGCCTCCCCAGTGCTGGAATTAAAGGCATAGGCCACCACGGCCAGGCCGGAAAGGAGCTTTTGTAGTGGCATCCATGGCCTCACTCCTCCTCTGCCTGGCTCCACAGTCACAATGCTTCATTGCTCTGTTTCCTCATCAATATGCTGGAGTGGTAAAGAGTTATGTTTCTGAGTGGGCCGTAGTGATTCCTGCCTTTCATCACTCATGTCTGTCTGTGGATCTCCATAGGCACAGATAGAAGAATACTGTCTTTCTTAGAGAGTTATGCAAACAAGCCCCATTACTTAGTTTAGTTTTGAGAAGCAGGGTGGAGACAAGATTCCACATAGCTCAGGCTGGCCTTGAATTTCAAGGGTGATCTTGAACTCCTGATCCTTTTGCTTCTACTTTCTGAGTGCTGGGATTACTGAAGTGTGCTACCATGGTAAACTGAAAGAATTGCTGTTGTAATTATTATGATTATTTTGCAGTACTAGTGATCAAGCCCAGGGCCCCTGTACATGCTGCCCCAATACTCTCTCACTGAGTTACATGCCTGGGCCTTAGTGCATAAATATATGTTTTTAAGGTCTGAAAATGTGTGTGTATATATATATATATGATATATGTATATATATGTGTGTGTGTGTGTGTGTGTCTGCATGAGTTTATGTGCACTATTGCATTCAGGTGCCAGGGGAGGCCTGGCGGTATGTCACATCCCCTGGAACTGGAGTTGTGGACCACTGGTTAGCATTGTGGGTGCTGGGAACAGAACCTGAGTTCTCTGCAAAAGCAATAAGTGCTCTTAACCACCGAGCCATCTCTCCAGCTTCATGCATTTTTAATGTGTTTATAACTTTATTATATAGATATTTAAGTGTTAGTAACATTGCCTAGCAAAATTTAAGTTCTAAATGAATGTTCGTGGCCAGTTTGAACTCTCAGCCCCACTCCCATGGTGTTTTGTAATTCCTCCTGCCTACCTGAACCTTCTATCTCATGACTCCATGCTTGGCATCCGAGTTCCACTAGTTTCTCACTAGCCATGACTCTGGGGATAACTCATTTCCTGGAGATGCTACCTACACACTTCACAGTGCCATCTCTGTGTCGTTCCTTACTTCTCATCACTCTGCTCCTCAACCACCTTCTCCCCACGTGAACCCAAAGGCCATAGAATTCGGTGAAGAACTACATACGCACTCCAAGACATAGGTGAACTCTAACTCCAGCACTTGAGGAGTAGAGACAGTTGGATCAGCAGTTTAAGGCCAGCCTGGGCTACGTGAGGCCCCATCGAAAATAGAAACAATGATGATAATAAATAATAGTAATACTCATGATTCCTTCCTGGGAACCAGTTTTGTCCAATTGCCTGTGGCAGATACATGGCTGAAAACTCCAGGACCTCTTTCAGTGGCGTGAACACATTGTTTCAACTCCATGTCACACATCCAGAAAGGGGTTCAACACAGGTGACAGAGCACAGTGCACAGAATTCATAGCTTTAATAACGGACTAGTGAGGGCTGGGGATGCCAGTTTCTGTATTGGTACTAGTCTCAAAAGCTGACTTCCGTTGTCTGAGAGCTAGATAATGCCCGCTTCATTTCTGAACCCAAAAGCTTTCCCTAATTATTTTCTCCTCTTTCGACTTTCTTATATATAATCATGTCTTCCTTTTTTTAGTTCTTGCCTGTAAGCCACCTCAACGCTTTCATGTTTCGCTGGTCATTAGCACTCTCACAACCCCGAGGCTGTAGGAGTGATGTCAGTCAGGTGTGTGTGGAGTGGAGTAATCGGCCTACTACAAACGGGACTGGGGAAATTAATTCACGGCGAAGAGCCCCTACCAACGTCTGCAATGCAAATCCCTGATCCAGAATCCTTGTTCTGGGGTCATTTGAGTCCTGGGCCACAGCCTCATCTGATTCTGGGTGAATGTCATTGTCTTCTGTAGCTCCCTGTCCTCACTGTTTTCTTTGACGCATCTTTGTGTTTTGTCACACCAGCCTCTACCCTCAAGTCGTTTCCAGACTAGTCACGGGGTTGCTGGCCTACTTACTGAATGCAAAGCCACAGAACAAAGAGGCCTGAAAGAAGCGGCCCAAGGACGGTTGCTGGGACGAGAGGAGGCCCCGCATCTGAGGGGAAAAGGTGCAATTTCTCTAAATCCGCCAAGAAGACTCGGGCATCGTCCAGAGCTGTCTGGGCTGCCACAGTAAAGTTGGGGTCACCAGAGACTGAAACATCAAAGACACAGGATTGGAAGTAGGCATCTTCAACGGGAAGCCCTTCCTTACACAGCCTTCGGGCTGTATCTACGGCTATAGCCCCGCGGCGATTGCGCTCGGAGCGAGAGAGTCGCTGACTCGGAGGGCATCCGCCAACACACAGCTGGAGGTCCTGCTCAGCCGAGAAGGCCCGTGCCACGTCCTCGGCTACCCTGATGGAGAAGGAAAGCTGTCCAGCTGTCTGTCGAATGATTATAGTTGTCCCAATGTAGGCGGCTCGGATCTCCACGTGGCTCCCAGGGTTGGCAGTTTGAATAGACAAGCTGGAGCCCCCAGGTCGGTCGCCGCCATTGACAGAACCATCTTCAAAAGCAGCGGGAAGATTATCCACCTCGGCCTGGTAGACTTTCTGGTCAATGCATTCCTGCATGTTCTTAAATATGATGGTGATCTGTTCAGACAAAGAGGAAAATAGTTTATTAGGGCTCAGCGCATTCCCCCCGCCCCCCCCCCCAGTCAAACAGCATATGTTGTCAGGGATCTGACTCCAGCAGACGCAAGTTGTCTTCACGGTCCTCAGTCCTTGATCCCATCCCCCACTGCCTTCCAATAGTATCCAATCCCTATTTAACCCCCCCCATTTTTTGTCTCAATCTTAGCAACTCCCCCCAAAAATAAAGTGTCCCTTCTGACTCCTCAGCTCTGCTAGCCCTGGTTGCTACCCCCAGCTTCTTCTTCAGTGTTATCTGCTTCGGAATAAAATTCCTATAGAGAGGAATTGATTTAGAAGAGCAAATGTTTGGATAGCGGGAAACCATTCAGAATGGGGGGAGGGGATGTTTGGGGAAGATGAGGAACCAGGAGCTGGGTGGCTGAGGAAGGGTGAGAAGGAGTGGACCCACGAGAGGACTACATTGGGAGGAAAACTGAATCCCTGACCTTCCGGGTGGTGGTAGCGTTGGCCCCTGATGCCACGGGGGAACTGGTGGCCTGGACAAAAAGGAAGTCGTTATCCAGCAGGGGCCAAGCTCCTTGGACACGGCATGTGTGAAAGTGGTGGTGGAAGCTGCGCACATGGGGATCCCCGAAGGAGGCGCAATGCAAGAAGCCCGGGGCTCGACCGTGCAGCCGGAAAAACCGGGCCTCGTAGTCACAGGGGTCTGGGGTCGGAGGGACTGGGCCAGCTCCGGGAAGCGCGGGGCCCCGGGCCGGGGGCGGGGCCGTGGGGCCCTGGCGGGAACAGTTGTGCTGGATCATCAGGTCCTCGATGCCGTGCACAGCGGAGTGGAAGGCGAGGTCCCCGCGGCAGGTGCGGGCCGTGCGCCGAGTGCAGAGTGCATAGGAGCGCAGGGCACGACACAAGCCACCTGACACCCCACCACGGCCACCTCCGCGCGGCGTGCCCGGTGAGACCCCTTCCCGAAGGTTCAGAGTGGACGAGACGTATTCGGCATTGCAGCGGAGAATCTTGCACTGGGAGTGAGCTGAGGACAGAAGGAAAAGACACTGAGACGGTGCCCAGACGCAGGTCCTAGCCAAGTCCAGTACACGCCTGTCAAAGGGCATCCTCCATCCCAGCCATTCCTACCACTCAGCGGGGGCAGTTTCCAGCCCCAACCTTCAGCCCCCTACTCCTCGCCTCCTTCCCTCTTTTTCTCTACTAAAAATCGTGTAAGTCAGCCAGACTTCTTTTCCCTAGAGTCTAGGGATCCGTGTCCCTCTGCCAGTTAAATGGGAAACAAGACAGGCCTTTTTCAGAGCGGGGCGAGGGTCTGGGACTCAGCACCCATTCCCCCTCCCTCATATGTGCTCACACGCGCACCCCCACCCGGCACAGTCTAACCCCTAGATGTGCCCAACCTTTCCCTGGCCCTTCCTTACCCTGTCCACAGAGGAGCAGCAGTAGAGTGAGGGTGCTTAGAGTTGGGGTACCGCCGTGGGGAAACCAGGGACTAGGGGCCTGGCCTCGATCCCCCATACCTATCCAGCCAGATTTCCCCAGGCGCCGGTTCTTCCCAGCTGATGAACCTCCTACCTAGTGAATGTCAACAGGCAGTTCTGTGACTGGAAAAAGCAATGTGACTGGGTGTGGGGACAGAGAAGGGCCTGAAGATGGGTCAAGATGATGAGGAGAGAATCTGGGGAGATCAAGGCAAGAATTACACAGACTGGAGCTTAGGAAGTGGGAGGCTTCCAGATGGTGAGTGTGGCTGGCGAGCCCCTGTGCCCATTCCTGTGGCCACCTTCAGGTCCCTTGTGCAATACCCCTAGGCAGGGGTGGGGGATGGAGGGAAGGTTGAATGACCTCAGTGGGCAGAGTCCACCGTATTGCCCCATCCTGACTACCAAATAGTAGATGTGTCAAAAATGAAGGGATTCCTGGGGAAAGTGAGGTCCTGATGGTCTCAGTGGGTTCCCCAGAAGTCCTGGGGTCTGATAATGCTTTAAAAAACATACCCTTTGCTTGTCCCTCCCAACCATGAGAGGCCCGCCACCCTTTTTTCTTCATTGTGTTAGAAGGGCACAAAGGGTAAACATCGTAGACTAGTGCCTTTTAGAACGTCACTTTTCCGGTGAAAGAGGAACCAATCTCTTAGCTACTCCAGAGGCCCGACATTATGATCCCCCTCTCTCAGGATAGGATAAAAACCAAGCATTCAAATTAATACTTGTTTTTGCCTGGTCAACGGTTTGTGCACTTTTCCAGACCTGGAGAGTAACTCTTTCTACTCTCCCCACCCCATTTACAAATCCAGAAGTTCCTGGCCTTTGAGGGGACAGATATCGGGGAGGGTCTGTCTCCCTTCCTCCTGCCGAAACCCGCTCTTTGGAGTAAGTCTCTGAATTGGGACAGAGTCCTGTGGGGAGGTCTCAGAGGTTGAGGTAGGGGCTGGGAGTGTACCTCAGTGGTAGGTGATGCTCAAGGCCCTGGGTTCGGTCCTCAGCATTATCCCCACACCCCACAGCCCAAAGTCTTAGTGTACTAAAGTGCAGAGGAAAGTTAAGAGGGCCGGAAAGAGGCGCCATGAAACTTTACATAGACATGGCTTGTAAACCAGAACAACGAGGCCGGAGGAGTGGATTGGGGGACTTGGTAAGGAGAAATCTTAGTTTTCAGAACAGATGTCTGTCATTTTATGAAATTCTAGCCTCAACCCAAACACTTATCAGAGCAATTGCAATATCATCTGAACTTACTGTTTCCCGAGGTCAAACATTATTCTGATACCCGGTTCGCCAGCCATAGTTGCCTATTCTGTTGGTCTGCTCCAGCCAGGGGTCCCCAGTCTCTTTCTCCATGTCTCTCCCAGTTCCCCAGACTAGCTGCAATCTCACCGAGGTCAGAGAGCCAGAGAAGGTTTGGTGTGGGGGGAGGGGGGAGGGAGAGTGTATGACTGGCCCTAGACAGCTGAGAGGAGGAGGGAGGTGGCTACTGAGTTGACAGTTTTAAAAATAGCTAAGTCCAAAATTCCAGGAGCGTTGGTGGCAGTAGGGTGTGGGAGTGAAGGCAGTGAGGACAAGCGGGATGGACGGAATACGGATTGTTGGGTACCAAGTGAGAGAGAGAGACTAAAGAAACATGACAGCCAAGTCAGATATCTAACTCCAGCTTGTATGCTCTACCTTCCCGGCCACTCTGTTCCTCCAGCATTCTCAGTAACGAGCTCCTGGCCCTTAAGAATGGCAGTGGGTTGCTAAATGCCTCTTATTTATTGCCCTCATCCTTACTGTGCTAGTATCCCATTGAATGCCCACGTATGGGATGTGGAGGTGTCTGGCTTTGAAGATGGACAGCAAGCATCATTCTGAGACCCTCCCCCATCTCTGCCAAGTATTTCAGAAGCTGAAAGGCCCAGCTGTTCAGAGAAGAAATCCGAGAGCGCAATTGTTTGGGAGGAGGGCTTTATGCAGTTCGTCCGGCTTGGATCCCAGCAGCTGTCCTTCCCATCCCCACGTTTCCATGATGCTAGTCTGAGCAATAGTTCCCCCTCCCTCCCCTCATCAACACACACAAAAATCCTAAGTGTCTAGATTGTGTGTGTGTGTGGGGGGGTGTAGGAAGACAATAACAGGCGAAGTAGGGAGTTGGGGGACAATAGCAGAGGCAAGGGGAAGAGCCAGAGTAGACATTTTTGACACTATCTATCCATGGGGAAGAGGCATTGGGATGGGGAGAGAAGAGAGTCAAGAATATACTTCTGTAGAAAGATACTGACTTTCGGAAGATATTATTAGAACCATGGAATTTATTTGTGTCCTGTTTTTGCACCTGTAGGCACTTCTGGGGTCACCTCCTTCAGTATTTGCCAAGGGAAAGCAGCACAGGACTGCTTCCTCTGGCCCTGTCAGCTCTACACCCAGTTCAGTCTACAGGCCCAGATACACATGCAACGCCTAAGCTATTGGCCAAGCAGAGTTATAATTAGTATAGTTTTTGTGTGATTATCCCAGGTCTGGGTGGTGGGAAATGAATGAGCAGTCTCTGCCTACAATGGTGTGATGATCAGCAGGAGGCAAGAGGATCAGGAGTTCAAGGTCAGCCTGGGCTACAGGAGAACGTGTTCCAAACAAACAGCAAATGCTGTGGTCCCAATGCTGCCTGGGTTCAGGTCCTGAGACAGGGAAAGGGCATTAGTGTGAAGAAATGAATTGTTCAACCATAAGATGAGTTTCATGCAAGTGCCCACCTCCTGAATTCTCCGGCCATATTTATTTATACATCAAAGCAAGTATGTTTTTCCATATTAACAAACAAGATTTTCCCATCCTCCAACATTAATCTTTGGCCAAGGCAAATAGGTCAAATATGTTTTCTCCCAACTTTTACATCAAAACATCTACAAACCAAAAACACTTTATCATTTTGCTAGCTTGGCCAAATATCGAGCCAGGTACATTTTGTCTTTACAAAACTAAAAGGTGGTAAACATAGGCACACATTTTCAAGACCGACAGCCCCGTTCAAAACACATTTACAGAAATAGGGGTGATCTGCCTCATCCTGTCAGCACTAAATTAGACCAGCTCCTGAGGTCTGGAGTGACAGCTGACATCTCCAGACAAGAAACCTGGGAAGCATCAGCTCCTGAGGAATTTTAGAGGAAAATATTAAAGAAAAAAAATGGGGTTTTGAGGGGGTTGGAGAGATGGCTCAGCCGTTAAGAGGACTGGCTGCTTGCCCTGAGTTCAGTTCCCAACAGCCACATACATGGAGGCTCATAGCCATCTGTAATGAGATCTGGTGCCCTCTTCTGGCCTGCAGGCATTCATGCAGGCAGAACACTGTATACATAATAAATGAAAAAAAAATCTTAAAAAAAAAATCACATCTGTCCCGTGTGTGACTGGCAAAGCGGCACTAAAAACTGCCAAGAGAGTCATGAGAGAGAAGAGAGCGAGCAGGCCGCATGGTCCCAGCAGTCTTCCGCGCTGTCCCCACGTCCGCTGGTCCTTGTTGAGCGAGACTGTCCCTGTGGGCATTGCCTCATCTGGAGAGCCGTTGGACGATCACGTATACTGGTCCAAAGCTAGGCCCCACAGTTCCCAACAAGCAAACAAAAACATTTCAATCTGATTTTGATCAATTCCCGGTCTAGAACCATTTACTAATTTACAGGAAACTTGGGAAACATCATATGGACCTTTGAGGTGCAAATTCGGATTGCAAAGGTGTTCTACAGGACAAACGGCCTGGCTCAACAGTAGATTCAAGCAAAATTGGAGAAGGAAGCATTAGACTGGAGAGGACATCAAAGGACTGGGGATGGCACTGGCCTAGCATGCCTGGGACCTGATGTTTGATCCACTGGGAAAAAAACAACCAAAAACAAAAACAACACGCACACGCACACACACACACAGCAATCAAACAGGTGAAGGTGTTCAAAGAAACTGAAACTTAAATTTGACCTCAACAAATCTCTGTGAAAATAACAGTCAAAGGATTTGCTGAAAAAGAATGTTTGGAGCACAGAAAGATGGATTCAGAAGGGAGATGGAGCAGTAAACACACAAAGAGATTTCTGGCAAACCCACATCTTTACTGTATCGTTAAAAACAGCTACTTTGGGGCTGGAGGATGGCTCAGTGGTTAAGAGTATTGGCTGCTCTTCGAGAGATCCAAGATCTGATTCCTAGGACTCACATGGTAATTCACAACTGTCTGTAACCCTGGTCCTAGGAGACTCCTATTTAGGGGAAGTATTAGCTAATGGAGAAACTAAGTTACACAAAGTTGCTGACTACACCCCATTCCCCCACCCGTAGTCATACAGAGAATGTTGACCACCCAACTTCCCCTATAAGCTGGGTAATATTTCAAACAGCCCCTGCAGATATCTGGAAGACATAAGCAGGAGGGCTGTTGCTATCCCCCTTAGATACTAATAGCCTATCAGGAACTAACAGCTGAGCTTTACCTAATCTTTAGCCAATTGTGATATAGGATAAGTAATTTTGTATTTTGAGAGTGTAACCTTGTACACTTTGTGGTTTTTGTCTTTATAAACCCCTTACAATAGTAGATGGGGTCCTTCTCCCTCCATCTGCTGTGACAGACCAGACCCGTACTAGCTAGTACAGAAACGGAACCTCGCTTTTGCACTCGGAAGTGGGAGTGTGGCTCCATGGTGGCCTTCTTGGGGGATCCAGGACTCAGGCACAACAACCCTAAACACATGCGTAGCCAGAGAGCTAAACAGAGTCCGGAGGCCCACCCATAGTTTATTTTCCTGAACCTCTCACTTCTTGTGTAAACAGGAAAATCCACCTGGCACTTCATTATTTTGTGTCAAATGATAGAAACAAATCCCAGCGTTCAGGAGGCTGAGGCAGAGGATTACTATGAATTGGTAACTAGTCTGGGCTACAAGTGACACTCTGTCTCAAAATAAGTAAAAATATTTTTTAAAGAAATTTAAATATAACACATTTAAAATTTAGTAAAACTTTAAAGAGGGCAACATGGAAAAAAATAGACATTTTTAAAGCTCATTTTGGATGAACCTAGCAGTGGGGCCTCATTGTTCTAAGGACCTACTTGACAAATTCCCTATATAATAACTTTGCCTTTTGATAGCTTGATACTTATATATAAAATAGCAAATATACATTTATATATTTGCAGAGAACCCGGGATTCAATTCCTAGTACCCACATGGTGACTCACCACAATTCAAAACTCCTGTTTCAGGGATTCTGACCTCCACGGGCATCAGGCCTGCGTGCATACAAAGCACTTACATATATAAAATAAAAACATCTAGTTTTTAAAAATGAGAACTCCCAAGTGTGGTGGCATACATCTTTAACCCATACTGTGAGTTCCCTGCCAGTCTGGTCTAGGCATTAAGATCTTGTCTCAAAACAAACAAGAAAAGAAACAGAACTTCCCGTCTTCCCCATTCTGTTGTAACTATTTAGATTCTCAGTTACACTCTTTTTTTCTAAAGCAGTCTCCTGTGGTTCAGGTTGGCCTCAAATTTCCTGACAAGGCGAGGATCTCCTTTGGCCCACACACCCAGCCTTAAACTATTTTTATTAGCTTGGATTTTTTTTTTTTGAGTTTTGTTATATATGTGATCTCTTTTATAGGTGAAAAAACAAAACAACAACAATCAAACAGACTTGCCTCAAGTTTATTTGTAAAAGACCTCAGACACTAGTCGTCTACAAATAACGTGCGTGGTGGGAAGGGGTCCCACCAGTCCGTCTGTCTTTCTGTTGCCAGAGGCCTTGGAACCTCTGGGAGCCTGAGAAAGGGTATGAGATAAAGAAAACATAACTTTTGGAAGAGACGGGAGGAGCCTGGCTCATCAGACAGCAAAGGATCACCAGGTTCTAAAACCACATCCATTCCCAGCATTCCAGGAGGAAGACAGGCTGAACATCCCCTTCCTTTGAAGGATTCCTTCAAGTCTAACACTCCTGGTTTCTTCACTGTGTATCTGTGGGCACAAGAACTTTTGCCCTCTACAGTTAGGGATCAAATAAGACCTCACATATGCTAGGCAAGCAATCCACCTGAACTATATCCCCAGACTATACTGAAGAGCTCTTGATATATATTTTTAGAGTATTTTCTATTAAAAACAGGTCTCTCTATGTAGCCTTGATTGGCATGAATCTCCTTTCAATTTTTCGAGACAGTCCTTGAACTCAGAGATCCACCTGCCTTTGCCTTCTGAGTGCTG